GGGTATTTTTAGCTTTACCACTTGGGGGAGAGGGAAGGAAATACATAAAAAAAGGCAAGGAGGAAGAAAAGGATATTAGTTAGATAAAGTACAACACGAAGGGAAATAAAAAGAAAAACGTTAAAACTCATAAAAACTAAAATGAGTGGGATTAAGTATGGACATAGGAATTATACTTTTGGGGGGGAGGAGGGGGAGGGGGGGATTTACTGAATAGTATGAATTAACGTCTAATAAAGCCAATCGACAATGAAAAACCAAAATCAAAACTGGTATACATTCTTTATTATGAGTCAACAATAAGCTTATTGTATAACGAAAAGGTAATGTAAGAAGGTATATCTGGAAACTTATGCAGCAAATAAAAAGTCAAATAGTGAAGGAATTGCTAAAATCGGAAAATAAATTCATGTCATTTTATAAAGGTGCCATATCGGTTGTGCACCCATGACAGACGGACCTACGCACATTCCTTGATTCGACGTCTATTAGCGGATTAAACGAAATATATATATTTTCAGTTCTACAATTGGAGGTGAAAATCGCGCCGTCGCGGCGAATTAAATGCAATTATATAAGAAACTTCAGCAGAGGAGTCCCGCAAATTATCGTGGCAGGTTCATATACGACATACGCGACGTATTCGCGTGATTTTGGAGCTCGGGTTGGCCACCAAACATTTGCGGTGGGGGTAGATTTTGGGCCGAGCTCATGTTAGAATAAATATCATAACAAGGGTTCCCCAGACCTGCTTCCGCCAGGCTTGTATTTTGGGTAGTTAAATGCAGCATATTCATCGGCGTTGGTATCGCCTGATGCGAAATGCTGCCGTGTAAACCCGATGATTCAATCGGCAGCGTTCGATTGCGCAAATAAAACATCCGAGCGTGGGCCATTTTGGCCTGTTCGATGAAAACCCGCGCCTGCTCAGACTCCGCCTTGCGGAGGCGCAGCCAGGCTTTGTATTCCTCGATCTCATCCGGGGTCATAATGCCGTATTTGGGCAAGGTATTTCGCAAATAAATGATAAGTGTGATAAGATAGGTCAAATACCCCACCGAGGCGACGATAAATAGCCCATTCACCGAAACCCACGGGAGATATTTCATCGAGGTGACCCCACAATGGCTGAGATAGTCCCGAAGTAGGGAGGATCGAGATCGTGAAAAGTACGTGGACTGTACCAAATACGTCAGTAAAAGAAGCTCCGTCGCGGAGAAAATGTCCTTTTGGAGATCCATGTTTCGAATTTTGAGCGAGAAGAAATTGATATCAATAAAAATCCGGTTCAAAATACCAAAAAACACGGTAAGTAGGCTTAAAATGAGTATAGATTTCATCTCAAACACATGATCCGCAAAAATGATGTCGACATTTGAGGCGTCAAGCGTTAGAGTGATGCCATTAAAGGCGTTAAAATCTCTCACGGTGGAGTACGTGCAGGATTTGGTCTTATATTTCAAGACAGGGTTGAGGGCGAACTCGTTCGTAATGAATATGGAATGATCAAAAGTACAATTGACAGCCAGGAAAAGTTTAACAATGAAATAAAATATCATTACTAATTGCGCAGACGTACATAAATGGACAAAATCTATAATACGCTTTTCGATCTTTAGTCGACCTTTGGATGGCCTCCTTTGAGAATCACTAACTACCTGCATGACAACAATTGCACCTGTAAATTTTTATATTAAAAAAACGACAAAAAGGGAAATATTTTATTATTCTATGCAAAAATTAAGAAACTAAAAAGATAATTTTGAATAAGAAAACAACCTAGAGGGGTTTGGGATCTTAGTTTCAGTAGTTTCTAAGGTTTCCTAGTAAGAGATATTGTAGACAATTTAAAGAGAAACCCACGTGAAGTCATTTTAAACAATATGCCGTGATGAAGGTGGTTAAACATAGTCGTAGCCCAGTACGAGAAATGGTCCGAGAGGGGTTAGGCTCCCCTTGTTGAGGGTTGTTAAACGCGTGATAGAGAAACTTCTCATTATTAACCCAAAAATTAGCTGCGTTGTTATTATAAAACCTTACACCGCACCGGACCCAAAACCCGGATCAACAAACCAAACCCCGCATCCTTCGCTTTCATCGGTTTGGCGCTCCCCAATCGGTGATTCGCACTACGAGTGAAAGGATGGTTTAACTTTTAAACACTAAGTCCAGAGGATCCACCGCGGGCTGCGGGTATTTCGCTCGGTGCGCCTCCGACTTCTCCCGAACCCCCTCATTGACTTTCTGCTTCTCCAAACGTCGAAGTTGGCGACTACGCCGCTGTGTGGTGGGCGGTTTGGTTATCCCGCTCTTCCACAAAACATTTCCTTTACAGCAGCCGTTTAAAATCGAATCCGGCGCCAGCGTAAAGCGCGGGCCGATCTCCAGCAGCGATGGGGGATCCGTCGGGACGATTTGGTAGTTTCGAACCCAAATGTGGTGGTCCAACCAGAAAAAAGCCATAATTCGATCCACAAACGGCTTCGAGAGAGGGTGGTAACGGGGGGTATTGAAGGCCATGTGCAAAAGCGACTTCGCGACGCGGAGGTGGGGTTGGGCCTCGAAGGCGTGGTCAAAATGCAGCAACGGGCGGCTATACTTCAGACAATTCCCCGCCATTCGAATTTCATCCGCGGTGTGGGCGTTGGTGAGTTGGAATTTAATACTCGGCCCGCGCGGGGCCTGGGCGATCCACAAATAGCGAATGTCCCCTCGGTGGGGCTCCACGAAAAGAACCCCATTGCACTGGTGGAGGTCGCTCAGCTCGACAAGCTCGTCGCCGAGGTCGTGCGTTCGTGCGATTTTCGCGTGCGGGCGGGCGTGCGGCATGAGGCCGCGCAAATCCAGCAGAAGATGGCGGTCTTTGCTCGACATATTGCGCCCCCCCAACACGAGGCATTTTTGATGGTTGGTCATTCGCTTGTCGGTGGTGGCGCGCCTCGGGCGAAAGACCCCGAGCATGCTCTCCGGCAGGGCCACCTCGACCTCGCTCGAGGCACCCGACAAGGACCCGGATCGCGCTCGCTTCTGCGGCATTCCAATCGTAATAATAATATTAATAAAAACCAATCAATATCTATAACTATATATTTATATATATAGATATATTGATTTATTTATAAAGGGGAATTAAAAGGTGGTAAATACTCCTTCCCGTTATTAGCCTTTCACCAGAAGTGCACAAACTCGTGCCTCGAGGTGGAACACGGTCACGAAAAAGCAAACAAAGTGCAATAACAATAATAAAGCGGTAATTACGTCCTTTCTGGAAGCAGAGATAGATTAGACGTTATACGCCACGCTTTTTAAAAACTAGGAAACAAAAAGATGAAATGGTGAAGTGATTATAAAGATTTCCCAAGCTGAAAAAGTAAAGATAGGATTCACTACAAAAGGCTAATTTTCAAAAATGTCATAAGGTTTATCGTGTGGAGGTTGGATTGGGTGCGCCGGAAAAGCAGCTGCGTACCCCCATGACTACACTTCTGCCATAGCGATCTGTTTTCACCGTAAACTCCCCCTTTGAACTAATGATGATAATAATAATAATAATAATAAACACCAGGAAAGTGCGTTTAGCCCTTTTAATCATGTTTCATCTACCAAAGCGAATAAACGATTCACGCCATACATCACGGTGGCCATACCAGATAGAAAAGGAAGTTTGCACACCTTTCGCGCCGCGCTCAGAGCCTCTCCAACGGACAACCCGTCTCCGACCCCCTCTAGTTTTGGGGTTGTCGAATAGCGCAAAAACCGCCGGGAGAGCCGATCCACCTCGCCGTTGGTGATATCCCACAAACAACCGATAAACGTCCTCGCCCCGGCGTGAAGATAGGCCCACGGCATCCCGTAATTCTCGAAAAAGGCGTTCCCCATCATCCAGGCGGAACTACACCCCATCAACAACACATCCGGAAAGTGCGAAAAAGGAAAGCGATCGTAAAGTTCGCGGCGCGGGAGCTCCAACTCCCCTCGTTTATGCCCGAGATAGACGTAGACGGAGCGTTTTTTGTGTAAAAGCGTCTGTAAAACCGGAAAAGCCGATTCGCCCTCCCCCCCCTCGTGCGGGTCGTCCGAAGGATCGGGGGGAGGGGGAAGGGGGCCATAATCGACCGTCCACCGGGGGTGTGCGTGGAGGAGGCGCTCGAACTTGTCCAACCGCGCCACCGCGGTGGAATCGATATAAAAGTGAGCCGCCTCGACAGAAAAGCTATTCTCGGGAAGGGCCGTCCCCCCGCGCAATTCAAACTGACGTAAATAGTCCACCGACGGCACCCGCGAACAGCTCTGACCCCGCAGGACATCCATCCCTTCCAGGGGTAAATCATGAAATTCATTCTCCAGCACGAGGTAGAGGTGCTCGCGAGGTAGTGCGAGAAGGTTCCGATGGCTTTTCCCATCGACCTCGCCGACTACTTCCAGAGCCCCCGCCCCCTCCCCGCCATAATAGCCAACGAGATAATCGTACATCAACCCAAGGACTTCCTGGGCGAAGTCCAGACAAACCGCTTGAAGCCGCTCGGGGTGGGCGCTAAGCCAGGACACCCACTCCACCGCGGCCTCCACGGCGACGTCGTCGTTCATCCACAGCCTCGCCAGGACGTCGAAAAGCGCCGCCGAGGTTCGGCGAAGAAACCCCGTGCAGGCCGCACAACGCGGGCCGGGGGATGCCAAATAGGAATCCGCGATATGCCGAGGGTCGTACAAGGCGGTAGAGGGCGAAGCCCCCGCGTTCGAATCCCCCGCCGCCATCAAAGGCAGGCTCTGGAGGACAACAAAGCACTTTTGCGCGAAAAGACCGCCGCCCGGCCGCCCCGACGAATCCCCCGGGGGGTCGTCGCGCAATTCGGCAACCCGGGCGGCGATCCGCGCGCCCAACGGCCGTAGACGCCGCCGGAGCGGTCGGGGAAGTTCGCCGACGATGAAAAACCGCGCCCATCCGAGGTCTTTTTCCAACTCCCGCACGGCCTGACCGAGCCGCGCGTCGAGGCCGCGCCGCTCGGCCCACCAAACCTCCTTGGATAGGCCCGGCCCCTCCGTCAAATTGGTCGCCCCGCCGGGAAAGTCCTCGTCGGCATGAGCATGGGGGAGAGTTGGATCGCTTTCGGAAGGACTACGCGGCTTGGTGGGCGGCGAGGAAGATGGGGGTGGCCCGACGGCGTGCTCAGAGGTCGTGGCGGTTGCCGGGGGGCGATTCATTTCGGGGTTATCGGGGGTTGAAACGGTGCCGCGTCGTAACTGCGCTCGATTCTCGCTCAAAATGGCGTGAAAACGCCTCGAAATGGTTTCAAATTCACTCCCAGAGAGGCTCGAATTGAGCTTTACACGATACGGCTCGTCCGTGCCTTCCGGCGAGAGCCCCGACGAGCCCCCATCGTCGACTCGGACGCGCTCGATCGTCAGCCCGACACCGTCGGGCGGAAAACGGCATTGTATGAGGACCACCGTGAAATCACCCCCGCGCGCGTGTTCGCGGTCGTTCGGACTCGGCTTTAGCAGCCGCCGCCGGGCGTCAAAGGCGTCCCCGAGCTGATAGCCGTGGCCCCGGGCCGGATGCCGGCGAGAGGGCGTCTCCGGATCCGCCGGCGGCCCCGCGCGCAGGGCGTTTCGGATGCCCTCCCAGGCCTCCCAAACCCGAGTCGCCGTTGGCTCCCGGGGCGCCCCGCGCACCCACGCGGAGGCCGCGAAGACCCCCGCGAAGCGCGCCAAAACCCGCAATAAAAGCCGCACCCCCTCCGGCGTCGGCCCCCCCCC